CCTTTAATTTTATATTACACAGAAATTCCTCAGCATGAGTAATTTCTCACAATGTTGACCAGACTGTGTTACATAACAAGAATTCCAGGAGTCTGTGTGCCGTAACAAAGCTATAGAGAGTTAGAAATCAGATCTTATATGTGAGTGTGAGTACACGGCACAAATTTGATTACAACTGACACAAGTCCGGTATAACCTACTTAGAGAGGACCGGCTTCCAGGACTCTTCCATCCTCACTTGAGTCCCCTTGTACGGTATAAAGACGTGCTGAGATTAACTTAGCCATGTTTCAGATACCAACCAACTGTTCAATCTTAATCAGTGACTGTCAAAAGATCCTAGTGAAGTAGTGGATAGACTTGAGACTCCGGATAATGGATATTGGATAGTGGATACCGGACCGAGAAAATATAAATTTAAAACAGCTGAGATTGTAAGGTGTGGCAGAGCTGTATTAAACGGGGGTTCTTGTTGGTGACAGTGGTAGACTGTGTAACATGCACTCCTAATCAAATTTTCATTATCTGCTGAGATAACAGTAAACAGTGTGTAATCCGCCTTTATCAAACACGGCCCTTGTGAACATGGTTTTGTAAACACGGGCCCCTTGTAAACATGGTGCTTATAAAACAGACAAATCGTCCAAAGTTATCATACTTTAAAGTAAAAATATGGCAACTTCTACTTTGATTCATAGTTCTACCTTGATTGATAGTTGTTGTCAAGTTGACCCATTCTATTAAAACTAAAATAAGTTAAAAGGACAGTCAGGGTGGAACAGACATTGTTTTTGTGTTTTTTATAAACCCCCAGCTCCACTACAGGCCCATATCAGAGCTGGGAACCTCCCAGTTCTGACAGTCTCAAGTATTAACTGTTGCTATGGGTAGGGTTTTAATAACAAGCTTGTTCTAGGTAGGGTTTAATAACTGACAAGCTTGTTGAAAGGTCGTGTTAAGACAGCAGACGTTTGCTGGTCTACTTAAGGGGAACACATCTCTACTTAGTCTGGAACTTCTGGAATCGTCGAGAATATGTCGGGTATAATGATGAGACGTCTTCACTTCTTGTAATGGAAAGTAACAATGGACTCCGGGTTTTCACGTCACGAATCTCCAGCATAGTGCGAATACCACTCCAGATTGTTGAACAAATGACAAAGAAAATGCCACCGAATATAAATATCTCCCTCCTGCCGACGTTTCACACTTTTGGAGAATATGGGATATCTATGAGTCATGCAATGATGCAACGGAACGTTGCTTTTTTAATAAGAACTTTGTAGAAAGATAATGGGACAATTTCTAGAGGCATTTTCTGACACTCAAGATTGTGCAATGTGCTAGTTTTTTGCAAACATATTTTCTGGTTAGAACAAGGAACACTACTAGACTGTTTCACAAAATTAATCTCGATGTCGAGATGCCGTCATCACTAATCAGTCTAAGTCACATCCTATCAGGAATCGATTAAATTTGACCTCACGAAATTTGATTAGTAAAACGATCGCGATGGTTATTCAAATTTCAAACAAAGGTTTTGATTGAAACTAATTTATCGAAAGTTTAAACAGTAGTCTCCCTTGTCCTAGTCGCAACACAAAACGTGTTGCTAAGTAAAATAGTGAAGTTGACGTCAGACTACTCAGCAGTAAAAGACGCGGATTATTCAGAGCAAATGCACACCCTACTAATGGTCAGCTGGTCCCACCCTGCAACCTGTATTAGTATCCAGTATTATATAAAATAATATCAACACCGCACCTGCAGTACCCCCAGTTAAACCCCTAGTTTAGTCTTAAAGTGGAATTATGATGGAACCCCTACTACCTACCTGGGAACAACCTGGTATCACCTTGACAACCTGGTATCGTCTTGACAACCTGGTATAACCTTGACAACCTGGTATCACCTTGACAACCTGGTATCACCTTGACAACCTGGTATCACCTTGACAACCTGGTATCACCTTGACAACCTGGTATCACCTTGACAACCTGGTATAACCTTGACAACCTGGTATCACCTTGACAACCTGGTATAACCTTGACAACCTGGTATCACCTTGACTCACAGGTTAGGTCACCACCCACACATGACAATTAGTCATGCTGTGATGTCAGCCGCAACTCTCACGACATTTCAACAGCTAATTTGTTAAAACGTACATAATTTTCACCACGCCAAAGACCTGTCTGAAGAAGCAGCAACCAGCTCATACAACCTTAGTGTTCTATATAACTCTCCCAGGATATAGTGTAATACTTGTATACCGACCAGCTAAAAATGTGAACAACACGAACAATACGAACAATACGAACAACACGAACAATACGAACAACACGAACAAAACGAATAAAAAGAACAACACGAATAAAAAGAACAACACGAACAACACAAACCTGGGTCCGAATACTTCAAATCAACAGCCTCCATACCACTACTTAAAACTATCCATTACAAACAACACAGCTAAAACTAAGACACTAAAAAACAGCTGCGGTCCCGTATTACCTTACACAAGCCGAACTAAAAAGAACGCAACAGCACACAGTGATGATGACAAGTAAGAGCGGAGAGTGGCCCAGGGGGCACATCGACCATCTAACAAAAGATCCTTATTATTACCTGATATTTGATGATAATGACCTGAGTCACTCCAATAATGATGTTACGTTCCGATGATGAGTGTATACAGTTACTTGATACATATTATTACCTAGGCGGTAGTAGCCCTCACATGTTATGTGCTAAACGATTGGAAGAACTGTGAAGCTCGCAGACTTTTGTTTAGATGTAGACACTGAACGCTATTACTTGAGGTAGATACTTTTGTCTAAATTTGAACTTCTTACCTTGCCTCTCAACCCGTTCATCGGTCATCGACCGGAGAAGGGCACGGAATTGAGGAAACATCAGTCTGCTCTCAAATAGTGGTTGAAGCAAACGCAAGAACAATCGACTGACCCAACATATTTAATACAATGCCCGACTTGAGTTTTACAATATACTATAAGACACATATATAATAGGATACTAAAAATGAACTTACTAATGACAAACGCATCAAAATTCAAACTTAACACAATAGTTTAGTTGGGTTGTACAAACCTTTGTTTCACTTGATCTACTCTTATATTTTGAACCTACTTTGAGTTATTATCCGTTCTGCTGTGATCGACCGCTTGATCGACCGCTTAAACATTCGTATATTTTCAAAGAACCGCTGAAGCCCGTACAACTCAACAGATCCAACAATGTAAAACACGTATTCCTCAGCTAAAGGCTTTTTCAAGAGTAAGAGACGATCCGGATCAAACACTTACGACCAGCAGATTAGAATTTACAATAGGATTGCTGAAATGCTCTATTGTTCATACACTCAAACCTTAATTGGCATAGTTATACTTTTGTTTGAATTCAGACGTTTTTACCTTGGCCTATCCGACGATGGTCAACCGCTTTGGTTAGCGAATGTTGAAGAGGACGACGCGACATCTTCCTACTTTCCGATAGGAATGTAACACTCACAACGACGCTCAAATCAGCGCGAATAAAAATGTTGATACGAAGTAGTGCATACAAACACCAGGATTCTACCCATATACATCTACTTCACCTGAATCTATGGAGCTATGGTGTTTTGGTGTATGGTCTAAATCACGAGGCTTTTGTTTAATATCAACGCTAAACAGCCCGTGTTTAATTGGAGAATAATGCAGGGTTTGGTTTGGGCATTTTATGAGACCAACCGTCACAGCCTAGTATAATCTACAGCTACCTTCGAATATTTCTTTTTGTTTTATGACCGGCTGCGTACAATTAACTTCACTAGTTCAAAATACAGTTTCGCCGAATTTTTTCAACCATAAACCGCCATGTTTCCAGAAAAGGGTAGATTAACATGTAATACTTGCTCCCACACCACCAGATGCTGCTATGGAGCTAAACGCTGCACACACTCGCTGTTTTACATATTGTTTCGATATTTTAACTGGCACTAAAGTTTTAGAGGTCTTCCCAACACACCACACCCCGCTATATAATATAATATATATATTATTTGACATTTTACTTTATATGAGAAAGCGTTGAATCCAATATTGATGTGTGATGTCGCGTATATTCTGAAGAATATATAATAATTGTAACCGTATACGTATGCACTGTGCGTGTAACCATTACCTGGGTACTCCTGAGGGACGGGACCATTCTAACGTCATCATAGACCTTGCTAGATTACCTCATGTCAAAGGTACGTCGCATCAGCTTACACGTGCACTAAACAGTAAACAACCCTAATACAGTAAGGAACAGGAGAACGCTGGAACCTTACATCAGCACAGAACAATGATCTAATCTCCTGTCAGAATTTCAGGACACCTGTACGAGATTCTAGAACAGAATCCCACCCTTTACTAAGTACGCATGTGTATATCACAACAATATTTTATGTCAACTTAACTGTGTCTGACAGAATTATATCTACATAAATTAACATTTCAACGTCAAAGAATCCTAAGTTTACGATCGACGCTTTCTGTATTTACGATTACCGTCACTGCACACCCTATATCCGAGGATGAAAGTTTAGGATGTAATTGTGACAAACTTAAAATTACTCGGACCATGACAGGTCTTACACACGCACAGTGCACACACTGTTAATATAACGTACCGCACAGAACCTTATTACAGGACTTCGTCACTTACATGTTGCCCCACAATTCTCTCTAACCATATATACCGGGACCCTTGGTGATAATAGAAATAGCGGAGATTCCTATTTTCAGACGATTGTGAACCTCAGAAAAGTGAGCACGACTAGCTCAAATTGTAAGATAAGTTTAACACGTACTAAACTAAAGCTTGATAACTTACTATTGCGTCGTAAAGATGTTAAAAATATAAGTGTACGGGCAATAAATAAATATCTTAAAACTCGGCAATCAAGGCCGTAAAAATGCTCTCAGTTAATGATGATCAGCTAATAAACTTACAATCTTCGTCGATGTTGCAGTAATCTAAGACATCAACAACCACCTCCACCAGGGGTAAATCTTCGACGCCGGTTTCTTTTTTCGGTTCTTCTGCAGGCTCTACTAGTTCATATTCCTCTTCATCTGACACAGGTATTGAAGCAATATGTTTGGTAATATGCGATACGTTTATTGTCAAAGCTATCGGTGTGCCGTCTTCTTTCTCAGTAATAAGTTTGACCTGGTCACCTTCAAGATTGTCCAATTTGTCGACTTCTTTCTCCAGTAGATCAAGGGTTTCACCATCAAGATTTGCTCCTTTCAGTGAATCCATGATCTGGGCTTTTATATCTTCGGTAACTGGAACCATCTTCTTCTCACCAGGCTCTTCTAAAACTTCGGGTACCTTCTCTGATTCAACGTGAATATCCTCAATACCACCCTCTTCAGGAGCAACCTCTTCTTTCAAAGGTATTTCAGCTGTATCTTCTTTGGGCTGAGAAAAGTCTACGACAATATCACCTGGGTTCACAGGAGTATCAGGAAGAGTCAAGTTGACGAGCGTAGCGACAGGCTCAATAATTTCGAGTGTAGTCTTTATAAGACCATTTGCACCACAAGCCATCATATTTCCGTTATCAAGCTCCTTGATCAGATCTTCTTTTGCAGGTTTGGGAATATCCAATGCAATGATTGCTTCTTTAATCTTGTCAGTTATCTCAGTATGGACTGCCAAGAATTGTCCAAGCGGCTCCAGGGGTTCCTCTTTCTTAGCTTTGGGATATTCCAAGGCATATCCGTAATCATCCATACCAATTGGAACAGCTTTAATGTCTTTACCGATACAAGCAAGTGAAACAGGGATATCAAGTGCAAGAGGGGCACGATGAACCTTCTCTTTGATATCTTGCTCAACAGTTATATCTTCACACGGATCCATATCTACAGACTCCAGGAGCTCAGGAGCATCCTCACTTTCAAGGGTTGTTGGAGCAATGTTTTTGGTAATGTTCTCCAAGTTGATAGTAAGGCTGATCGGAGTTCCGTCTTTCTTAGCGATGTTTAAGTCGATGCTATGACCCTCCAGATTGTCGAGCTTCTCTACTTCCTTTTCAAGCAGATCAAGTGTCTCCTCGTCAAGATCAGCAGATTTTAACGAGTCTACGATCTGAGCCTTGATTTCAAGTGTTATTGGGATAACTTTTTTGGAGTCAGGACTCTCCTCTTGGGGCTCTTCTTTTAGGGAAACTGGCACAGTTATTTTTGTGATACGATGAATATTGATCGTAAAATCAATTGGAGTTCCATCCTTTTTGTACGTCGACAGCTCAACAGTATCACCATTTAAGTTCAACAACTTGCCGAGTTGTTCTCGTAAGAGATCAATCGTCTCTTCATCATGACCTGACGATTTCAAAGTATCAGCAATCTGTGACTTTATATCGTCGGTAACAGGGATATCCGTGATATCAGTCGGGCTTTCTAGGGCGACTTTGAGATCACATTGGACTGGAACTGGCGCACTTTCAATGAGCTCGTAACCCTCTTCCTCATCCATAGGAACAGGGACAATATTCTTGACAATGTTGTTGATGTTAACCGTCAAGTTAATCGGTGTACCATCTTTCTTTGTAGCAGCGATTTCCATCTTACCATCATCAACAGAGTCAATCTTTTCGAGTTCTTCCTCGAGAATTTTCATGGTTTCATCATCGAAATCACCAGATTGTAAAGAAAGAATGATCTGTGCCTTTATAGCATCAGTTATTGGAGTCGCAACTGGCTCTTGTTCCGTTTTGGCGGGCTCTTCCTTTTCAACAGGAGTGACATCATCTGAGGCTACCAACTCGTAGCTTTCATCCTCTTCAACTGGTGTTGGAGCAATATGCCGGGTGATATGGGACACGTTGATCGTCAAAGATATCGGAGTCCCGTCCTTCTTTTTCGTATCCAGTTTTATTTGGTCACCTTCCAAATTATCTAATTTGTCGACCTCTTTCTCCAAAAGATCGAGTGTTTCTTCATCAAGATCAGCTCCTTTCAATGAATCTAAAATCTGAGATTTGATGTCTTCAGTAACTGGAACTTTCTTGTGTTGAACTGGCTCTTCAGGTAGTTTTTCAACTTCAGGAAGCTCATCCCTTTCAACGCTGATATCCTCAATGCCACTTTCATCAGTAGGAATTTCTTCCATAAGAGGTAATTCTTCAATACTAGGTGCTTTTTTAGGAACCTCAGCAGCCTCAACTAGTTCATATCCCTCTTCATCTGAGACAGGTGTTGGAGCAATATGTCTGGTGATATGAGAGATGTTTATTGCCAAAGATATCGGTGTGCCATCTTTTTTCTTAGCATCAAGCTTAATCTGATCACCTTCAAGATTGTCCAATTTGTCGACCTCTTTCTCTAGCAGAGCGAGTGTCTCATCATCAAGATCTGCTCCTTTCAATGAATCCATGATCTGAGCTTTGATGTCTACGGTGACTGGAATCATCTTCTTTTCAACTGGCTCTTCAGGCATTTCTTCAACTTCAGGTGCCTCATCCATCTCAACGTTGATATCCTCAATACCACTCTCTTCGGGAGGAACCTCTTCTGTCAGTGCTATTTCTTCGACAGTAATTGTTGGGGCAGATTGATCGACAGGTTTATCTGCTGCTTCAACCAACTCATAACCATCATCATCTCCAGCAGGAATAGGAACGATGTGACGAGTTAAATGAGACACATTTATTGTTAAATGAACTGGAGTACCATCTTCCTTTTGAGTATTGACTATGACCTGGTCTCCCTCTAAAGTGTCCAATTTAGCAACTTCTTTCACTAATAGTTCGGTTGCTTCGTCATCTAGACCTGTTTTCTTCAATGAATCCACAATCTTAGAACGAACCTCCTCGGAGATTGGTATACTGGGTTTATCGGAATCTTTGTCAGGCGAGCCCTCCATTTGGAGAGAAAGTTTTACCTCTATAGGCTGAACTTCTGGGGATGACTCCGTCACAGATTTTTCCTCGGAAGAAATAACAGGTGCCTCTAAAACCTCAGGTTCTTCTACTGGCATTTCAACCATTTCAAAACCATCATCACTACTAGCAGGAGAAACAATCTTGGTGATATGGCTGATGTTGATAGTCAGATCAATTGGAGTACCATCCTTCTTCTTTGCAGTCAGATGCATCTTCTCTCCATCTAATTCAGGCACCTTGTCAATCTCGTCACTGAGAAGTTCCAATGTTTCATCGTCGAGATTAGCACCTTTCAAGGCGTCCAGGATTTGCTTCTTGATATCATCTGTCATAGGAACAGCAGTAGCTGGTGCAGACTCGCATTCGGCAACATCTGGTTCTTCTTTTATGACAGGAGAATCGTTAGTTGGAGTAGCATCATCATTAGTCGGGGTTATATCTTCGACATCTTCACTAGACAATGGTTGTACCTTCAGTGGAGCAACCTCGGTTGGTTTGGCAGGTTCGACAACAATCTGTTCTGGAACTGACTCTACGTCCGATACATCCTGATCATCTCCACTGTCGCCAACACCATCACTTCCATCAGAAGGAATCGCAGGAAACAAGTTTTTCATGACATGTTTGATGTTTATAGTAAGCTCAACAGGTGTACCATCTTTCTTTTTGGCTTTCAACGTTACTGAGTCTCCTTCAAGGTCTTTATGCTTGTTCAGTTCATCGACCATCATAGCAATCACCTCATCATCTACGTTTCCTTCTTTCAAAGAAGCAACTATCTGAGCTTTTATATCATCAGTAAGCGGAGTGACAGGCTTCTGAATGTCTGAGCTAGACATAACTTTAACAGCTTCGTGGAGTTTTATTGGTTCCACTTCAATGGATTTCATTGGCTTAACTTTCACCTTCTTGGGGGAGACGTCATTTTTAGAAAGATCAGGTAGAGCAGCAGCCTCATCACTTGAGGCTGGGATCACCTCCTTTGGCACGTGTTTGACATTCAAAATCAACTCTACTGGAGTACCGTCCTTCTTGACAGCATTTATCGTTACAACATCATCTTTAAGTTGTGTCAATTTATCAATACCATCACTAAGTAGCTTGATTGCTTCATCGTCGATTTCACACGATGGTAAGGAATCTTTTATCTTATCCTTGGTTTCATCAGTGACATATGTGGCAGTTTCAGGGGCACCTTCAACAGTTATTTCTTGGCTGATCTTGATAGGATAAACCAAAACTGGCTTCAGAGGCTCAACGGGAACTTGGTCAGGCGAAGAATTGTTGCGAAGAATATTTGCAACATTGATAGTTAACTCAACTGGACTGCCATCAGGTTTCTTTGATTTAAGCTTAACCTGATCTCCCTCAATTTCCTTAAGATTTTCGATTTCCTTTGTGAAGATTTCCACAGTTTCACTATCTAAGTCACCACATTTCAGGGCCTCAACAAGCTGGGACCGTAACTCATCAGTCATTGGAGTTGAAATTCGTCTACTGGATTGATTAATAGGTGCGACCACCAAACAGACATCACCCAGATGCTGAACATCATCCTCTTTATCGGACTCTACAGAAGAGTCTGATGATGATGATGATGAAGATGAGGAACCACCGTCTTCCTCATCAGAAGACCCTTCATCAGCGGATTTGATCATTTGATTGATGTTGATGGTAAGTTCTACAGGTGTACCATCCTCCTTTGTGGCACTGAGTGTCATAGTGTCACCTTCTAGATTTTCCAACTTCTTTATTTCATCTTCTAATAGACAAACAGTTTCCTCATCAAGAGGACTAGCTTGTACTGATTTGATGAGCTGTTCTTTCAAATCATCAGTGATTGGGAGGGGTTCGTTTTCTTCAGAAGGAGCTGCTTGTACTTCAGTGATAGTCACATCCTCAAGCTGAGTGACTTCTGGCGACTCTTCTTCACTAACTGTAACACCGGGTATTTTAGGTTGGCTTCCAACAGGAGTACAGGGTTCAACAACAACTGTGGGTATAGGCTTTGGCGCAGAAATAGCAGGTAAAACGCGACTTTCTCCTTCCTCATCAGACGTCGTTATTTCTCTCGCTGGTTCATCATCTGGTATAGGTTCAGGCTCAGTTTTGTCTTCTTTCTGAGGTGTAGAAACTGGAGCACTAACTGGGGACTCCTTTGGCAGATCAACTTCGGGTTTGTCCTCTGGTTCTTTTGCGAGGACAGGTTCCGATTGTCTTCCTGAAACCTTTTGAGGTTCTTGCATTGGAATATCTTCGTCAGCTTGGGGAGCTATCTCCTCAACAGGCATAGGAACATCCTCTTCCTCCAATTTAGGTGATTTAGGATCTGCTACCACTTTCGTCACAGGGTCAGAAGATTCGCTAATAACAGGGGCAGTGTCCATTGGCTCTACTGCCTCCTTTGATGCAGGCTGCGATGCTTCAATAATGTGTTTCACGTTGATAGTTAGTTCTATAGGGGTGCCATCTTTTTTAGCTGTTGAAAGCTTGATAGTTTCACTATCCAAAGTGTCAAGTTTATTAACCTCATCTTCTAGAAGATCCTTTGTCTCATCATCAAGATTGCTTGCCCGGATTGATTGAATCAGTTGGTCTCTCATGTCATCTGTCATGGGAATGGGTTCAGGTTTCGATTCAGGACTAGCTATTTTTCTTGTCACACTTACATCATCTAAATGAGTTGGAGACTGAGCGATGTCTTCGGGAGCATCTTTGCTAAGCACGACGTCTTCTGGTTGTTTGCGAACACTTGGTTCGGACTCTGTGACTGGCTTAGAAGATTCCTTTGGCACATCAGGTGCAGACTCTCGTCCAGTCACCTCTTGTGACACTTGCTCTGGAATATCCTCATCAACTTCAGGAGCAATCTCCTCATCACACATTGGTTTATCACTTTCCTCTAATGATGGTACCTTGACAGGCTCAGCTAGTGAACTTTCGGCAGGTTTCTCAACTGCTCTTGACGGTGTTGAAGGATCAGGCTGACATGCCTCGATTATGTTTTTGACGTTTATAGTGAGCTCTATCGGAGTGCCATCCTGTTTGGCGGTCTTCAACTTTATGGTGTCGCCATCCAAAGCTTCAAGTTTGTTTATTTCATCTTTTAGAAGATCTTTTGTCTCATCATCAAGGTTGCTAGCATCGATAGACTGAGTAAGCTGATCTCTAATATCATCAGTCATAAGAATAGAAACAGGCTTTGATCCAGGACTTGCTAGTGTTCTTGTTACACTGACATCATCCAAATGAGCTACTGGCTGATCAGCCTTTTTAGGAGTTCCTGTAGCAGGTAAGATTTTCTCTGTTCCCTTGGGGACATCCGGCTGGGACTCCTTTTCCTTTACCTTCTTTTCTTCCTGCATTGGAATGTCCTCGTCAACTTGCGGGGAAACCTCCTCATCAGACATTGGAACATCTTCTTCCGTGACAGTAGGTTTTGCTGAATGAGCGACTGGCTGATCAGCCTCCTTGGGAGCTTCTGTAGCAGGTAAAGTTTTCTCTGTTCCCTTGGGGGCATCCGGCTGAGACTCACTTTCTTTTACCTTCTGCTCCTCCTGCATTGGAATGCCCTCGTCAACTAGCGGGGAAACCTCCTCATCAGACATTGGGACATCCTCCTCAACAACTTCTGGTGATTTGGTCACCTTATCTGCTGCACGTGATGGCTTGGACGGTCGTTCAGGAGCTACAGAGGTTGGCTTGTCGACAGTTGGTTTTTGCTGGAGTGGCTTCGATGCTTCAACTATATTTTTGACGTTAATTGTAAGCTCAACTGGAGTACCATCTTTTTTAGTCGTATTCAACTTAATGGTGTCACCATCTAAAGCATCAAGCTTGTTAATCTCGTCTTTGAGCAGATCTTTAGTCTCATCATCCAGATTGCTACCTTCAATAGATTGAATTAGCTGATCTCTGATGTCGTCAGTCATAGGCACAGACACAGATGGTTCTGATCCAGGGCTTGCTAGTTTTCTTGTGACACTGACATCATCCAAATGAGCAACAGGCTGATCTGCCTTCTTAGGAGTTCCTGTAGCAGGTAAGATTTTCTCTGTTCCCTTGGGGGCATCCGGTTGAGACTCCCTTTCTTTTACCTTCTGTTCGTCCTGCATTGGGATGTCCTCGTCAACTTGTAGGGAAACCTCCTCATCAGACATTGGGACATCCTCTTCAACAACTTCCGGTGATTTGGTCACCTTATCTGCTGCTCGTGATGGTTTAGACGGTCGTTCAGGAGTTATAGAGGTTGGCTCCTCAACAGCTGGCTTCTGCTGGAGTGGCTTCGACGCTTCAACTATGTTCTTGACGTTGATTGTAAGCTCAACTGGTGTACCATCTTTTTTAGTCGTTTTCAACTTGATGGTATCACCATCTAAATTGTCCAGCTTATTTATCTCGTCTTTAAGCAGATCTTTAGTTTCATCGTCAAGATTGCTACCATCGATTGACTGGTTGAGTTGATCTCTGATGTCATCAGTCATAGGCACATACACAGAAGGCTCTGATCCAGGGCTGGCTAGTTTCCTTGTTACACTAACATCATCCAAATGAGCGACTGGCTTATCAGCCTTCTTGGGACTTTCCTTTGTTCCCTCGGGGACATCTGGTTGCGATTCCCTTTCCTTGACCTTCTTTTCTTCTTGCAATGGTATATTATCTTCGTCGATTTGGGGACTGATTTCGTCTTCAGACATTAAAACATCCTCCTCCACAACTTGTGGCGATTTTGTTGTCTTCTCCACTGCTCGTAATGGTTTAGACGGTGTTTCAGAAGGTTCTGAAGTTGGTTTGTCCTCGACTGGTTTCTGATGGACTGGAGTTGCTGCTTCAACTATGTTCTTGACGTTGATTGTCAGCTCTACTGGAGTACCATCTTTTTTAGTCGTTTTCAACTTAATGGTGTCACCATCTAAAGCATCAAGCTTGTTAATCTCGTCCTTCAGCAGATCTTTAGTTTCATCGTCCAGATTGCTACCTTCAATAGATTGAATTAGCTGATCTCTGATATCGTCAGTCATTGGAACAGACACGGATGGTTCTGATCCAGGGCTGGCTAATTTTCTTGTTACACTGACATCATCCAAATGAGCGACTGGCTGATCAGCCTTCTTGGGAGTTCCTGTAGCGGGTAAGATTTTCTCCGTTCCCTTGGGGGCATCTGGTTGAGACTCCCTTTCTTTAACCTTCTTTTCTTCCTGCATTGGAATGTCCTTGTCGACTTGCGGGGAAACTTCCTCATCAGACATTGGGACATCTTCTTCAGTGACAGTAGGTTTTGCTGAGTGAGCGACTGGCTGATCAGCCTTCTTCGGAGTTCCTGTAGCGGGTAAAATTTTCTGCGTACCCTTGGGGGCATCTGGTTGAGACTCCCTTTCTTTAACCTTCTTTTCTTCCTGCATTGGAATGTCCTCGTCGACTTGTGGGGAAACTTCCTCATCAGACATTGGGACATCGTCTTCCGTGACAGTGGGTTTTGATGAAGCTGCTGCTGGAGCTGCCTGCTTTTTATCTGGTTTTTGTTGGGGAGCTGCTGCCTCAATTATGTTTTTGACGTTGATTGTAAGCTCTACAGGTGTACCATCTTTTTTGGTCGTTTTCAACTTGATAGTGTCGCCATCCAAAGATTCAAGCTTATTAATCTCGTCTACTAGAAGGTCCTTGGTTTCATCGTCTACATTAAGTGCACGAATCGATTGAGTCAGTTGATCCCTGATGTCGTCAGTCATAGGCACATACACAGAAGGTTCTGATCCGTCATCCAAATGAGTGACTGGCTGATCAGCCTTCTTAGGAGTTCCTGTAGCAGGCAAGATTTTTTCTGTTCCCTTGGGGGCATCCGGCTGAGACTCCCTTTCTTTGACTTTCTGTTCCTCCTGCATTGGGATGTCTTCGTCAACTTGTGGAGAAACCTCCTCATCAGACATTGGGACATCCTCTTCCGTAACAGTGGGTTTTGATGAAGCTGCTGCTGGAGCTGCTTGCTTTTCAAATGGTTTTTGTTGGGGAGCTGCTGCCTCAATTATGTTTTTGACGTTGATTGTAAGTTCTACTGGTGTACCATCTTTTTTGGTCGTTTTCAACTTGATAGTGTCGCCATCCAAAGATTCAAGCTTATTAATCTCATCTACTAGAAGGTCCTTAGTTTCATCGTCTACATTAAGTGCACGAATCGATTGAGTCAGTTGATCCCTGATGTCGTCAGTCATAGGCACAGACACAGAAGGTTCTGATCCGTCATCCAAATGAGTGACTGGCTGATCAGCCTTCTTAGGAGTTCCTGTAGCAGGTAAGATTTTCTCTGTTCCCTTGGGGGCATCCGGTTGAGACTCCCTTTCTTTTACCTTCTGTTCCTCCTGCGTTGGGATGTCCTCGTCGACTTGTGGGGAAACCTCCTCATCAGATATTGGAACATCTTCTTCCGTAACATTGGGTTTTGAAGAAGCTGCTGCTGGAGCTGCCTGCTTTTTAACTGGTTTTTGTTGGGGAGCTGCTGCCTCGATGATGTTTTTGACGTTGATTGTAAGCTCTACTGGAGTACCATCTTTTTTAGTCGTTTTCAACTTAATGGTGTCACCATCTAAAGCATGAAGCTTGTTAATCTCGTCTTTAAGCAGATCTTTAGTCTCATCATCCAGATTGCTACCTTCAATAGATTGAATTAGCTGATCTCTGATGTCGTCAGTCATTGGAACAGACACAGAAGGCTCTGATGCAGGGCTGGCTAGATTTCTTGTTACACTGACATCATCCAAATGAGCGACTGGCTGGTCAGCCTTCTTAGGAGTTCCTGTAGCAGGTAAGATTTTCTCTGTTCCCTTGGGGGCATCCGGTTGAGACTCCCTTTCTTTTACCTTCTGTTCCTCCTGCGTTGGGATGTCCTCGTCGACTTGTGGGGAAACCTCCTCGTCAGACATTGGAACATCTTCCTCCGTAACATTGGGTTTTGAAGAAGCTGCTGCTGGAGATGCCTGCTTTTTAACTGGTTTTTGCTGGGGAGCTGCTGCTTCAATTATTTTCTTGACGTTGATTGTAAGCTCTACTGGTGTACCATCTTTTTTGGTCGTTTTCAACTTGATAGTTTCATCGTCTACATTAAGTGCACGAATCGATTGAGTCAGTTGATCCCTGATGTCGTCAGTCATAGGCACAGACACAGAAGGTTCTGATCCGTCATCCAAATGAGTGACTGGCTGATCAGCCTTCTTAGGAGTTCCTGTAGCAGGTAAGATTTTCTCTGTTCCCTTGGGGGCATCCGGTTGAGACTCCCTTTCTTTTACCTTCTGTTCCTCCTGCGTTGGGATGTCCTCGTCGACTTGTGGGGAAACCTCCTCATCAGATATTGGAACATCTTCTTCCGTAACATTGGGTTTTGAAGAAGCTGCTGCTGGAGCTGCCTGCTTTTTAACTGGTTTTTGTTGGGGAGCTGCTGCCTCGATGATGTTTTTGACGTTGATTGTAAGCTCTACTGGAGTACCATCTTTTTTAGTCGTTTTCAACTTAATGGTGTCACCATCTAAAGCATGAAGCTTGTTAATCTCGTCTTTAAGCAGATCTTTAGTCTCATCATCCAGATTGCTACCTTCAATAGATTGAATTAGCTGATCTCTGATGTCGTCAGTCATTGGAACAGACACAGAAGGCTCTGATGCAGGGCTGGCTAGATTTCTTGTTACACTGACATCATCCAAATGAGCGACTGGCTGGTCAGCCTTCTTAGGAGTTCCTGTAGCAGGTACGATTTTCTCTGTTCCCTTGGGGGCATCCGGTTGAGACTCCCTTTCTTTTACCTTCTGTTCCTCCTGCGTTGGGATGTCCTCGTCGACTTGTGGGGAAACCTCCTCATCAGACATTGGAACATCTTCTTCCGTAACATTGGGTTTTGAAGAAGCTGCTGCTGGAGCTGCCTGCTTTTTAACTGGTTTTTGTTGGGGAACTGCTGCCTCAATTATGTTTTTGACGTTGATTGTAAGCTCTACTGGTGTACCATCTTTTTTAGTCGTTTTCAACTTGATAGTGTCGCCATCCAAAGATTCAAGCTTATTAATCTCGTCTACTAGAAGGTCCTTAGTTTCATCGTCTACATTAAGTGCACGAATCGATTGAGTCAGTTGATCCCTGATGTCGTCAGTCATAGGCACAGACACAGAAGGTTCTGATCCGTCATCCAAATGAGTGACTGGCTGATCAGCCTTCTTAGGAGTTCCTGTAGCAGGTAAGATTTTCTCTGTTCCCTTGGGGGCATCCGGTTGAGACTCCCTTTCTTTTACCTTCTGTTCCTCCTGCATTGGGATGTCTTCGTCAACTTGTGGAGAAACCTCCTCATCAGACATTGGGACATCTTCTTCCGTCACAGTGGGTTTTGATGAAGCTGCTGCTGGAGCTGCCTGCTTTTTATCTGTTTTTTGTTGGGGAGCTGCTGCCTCGATGATGTTTTTGACGTTGATTGTAAGCTCTACTGGAGTACCATCTTTTTTAGTCGTTTTCAACTTAATGGTGTCACCATCTAAAGCATCAAGCTTGTTAATCTCGTCTTTGAGCAGATCTTTAGTCTCATCATCCAGATTGCTACCTTCAATAGATTGAATTAGCTGATCTCTGATGTCGTCAGTCATTGGAACAGACACAGAAGGCTCTGATGCAGGGCTGGCTAGTTTTCTTGTTACACTGACATCATCCAAATGAGCGACTGGCTGGTCAGCCTTCTTGGGAGTTCCTGTAGCAGGTAATACTTTCGCTGTTCCCTTGGGGGCATCCGGTTGAGACTCCCTTTCTTTTACCTTCTGTTCCTCCTGCATTGGGATGTCCTCGTCGACTTGTGGGGAAACCTCCTCGTCAGACATTGGAACATCTTCTTCCGTAACAGTGGGTTTTGAAGAAGCTGCTGCTGGAGCTGCCTGCTTTTTATCTGGTTTTTGTTGGGGTGCTGCTGCCTCAATTATGTTCTTGACGTTGATTGTAAGCTCTACTGGTGTACCATCTTTTTTGGTCGTTTTCAACTTGATAGTGTCACCATCCAAAGATTCAAGCTTATTAATCTCGTCTACTAGAAGGTCCTTAGTTTCATCGTCTACATTAAGTGCACGAATCGATTGAGTCAGTTGATCCCTGATGTCGTCAGTCATAGGCACAGACACAGAAGGTTCTGATCCGTCATCCAAATGAGTGACTGGCTGATCAGCCTTCTTAGGAGTTCCTGTAGCAGGTAAGATTTTTGCTGTTCCCTTGGGGGCATCCGGCTGAGACTCCCTTTCATTTACCTTCTGTTCCTCCTGCATTGGGATGTCTTCATCAACTTGCAGGGAAACCTCCTCGTCAGACATTGGAACATCTTCTTCCGTAACAGTGGGTTTTGATGAAGCTGCTGCTGCAGTTGCCTGCTTGTTATCTGGTTTTTGTTTGGGAGCTGCTGCCTCAATTATGTTTTTGACGTTGATTGTAAGCTCTACAGGTGTACCATCTTTTTTGGTCGTTTTCAACTTGATAGTGTCACCATCCAAGGTTTCAAGCTTGTTAATCTCATCTACTAGAAGGTCCTTAGTTTCATCGTCTACATTAAGTGCACGAATCGATTGAGTCAGTTGATCCCTGATTTCGTTTGTCATGGGAATTGACACAGTTGGTTCAGCCTCGGGACTGGTAACATTTGTAGGAGCGTCAGGACTAGACTTATCTTGAGCAACTTTCTCTGGTTCTTGCACGGGAATCGGGGCATCAACCTCAGTAGCATTGCTTTCTTCAGGCATGGGGACATCTTCCTCATCTAAGGATGGAACAGCAGTTTTGCGAACATCTTCGGGCTTCTTGACTGGTTTTGTGGTTGGTGGTTGTGCTGCTTCAACAATGTTCTTAACATTAATAGTAAGTTCTATTGGAGTGCCATCCTTCTTTACAGTTTTCAATTTTATTGTGTCGCCATCCAGAACTTCCAGCTTCAGTATTTCTTTTTTCAGCAGTTCTTTGGTCTCATCATCAAGATTACTAGCATCAATAGACCGTAACAGCTGATCTCTGATCTCATCTGTTACAGGGATCGCTGCAGGAACTCCTTCCGAGCTTTCCTTTAGCCTTTTTACACTGACGTCATCTAAATGTGTTATAGGTCTATCAGGTTCTTGAGGAGCATCTTGTTTAGGTGCTATCTTTTCAGGTTTGATAGAGATATCAGGTGCTGACTCTCTTGTTGATACCTTCTCAGGCTCTTGCATTGGAATGTCCTCATCTTCAAGCGGGACCATTTCTTCGGTCATAACAACATTCTCTTCTTCCAATGTTAGTGGTTGCTCAGGAGCCTTCTCAGATGACGGCGTATCTTCGGGTAATTTAGCTTTCTTTGAAGAAACAGTGTCCTCAGGGCTAGGCACTATTTTCTCGGCAGTCTGAGGGTATGTCTCCGACGATGTGGAGTAATTTAGAGTTAACTTTACTGGTGTCCCATCACTCTTGGTAACGTTAAGTTCGACTGCATCACCAGTTATGTAGGAAAGTTCAGTAAGCTCACCGATGAGCAAGTCTTTTATCTCTTGATCAAATTGGCTGTTCTTCACAGAGTCGATCAGGTACACTCGTATTTCTGATGTAACGGGAACTTTTGCTCCAGTCGGCTCATCGTCTTTTGTACTCTCTGGAGCTTGCTCAACAGGCTTCGAAGAAAAAGCTTGAATGTCTGGGATTTCCGAATCCTCTACATCAACCATAGCAACATCTTCAGATTCGACGCCAGCTACTACCACTTTTTGCTTCTTGTTTTTATGTGCACCTTCACCAGAGTCAACAAACAACACTTCGTGTGTGAATTTAGCGTTGATAGTGAACCTAACGGGTGTGCCGTCAGCTTTTGTTGAATCTATCGTCACTGTATCACCCGTGAAGTAGGAAAGCTGTTCTAACTGAGCTAAAAGAATGGTTTTAGTCTCATCGTCGAAATCACTCATCATGATGACCGCCCTCAGTTTTTCCCTCACGGCACCGTCAATAGGTCGCTGATCGAAGTTAGAGGGTCCTATTTCCTCTAACACAACATCATCCTGTTTCGAGATAACCTTCATTACAGGAGTTCTAACAGCTGCAGGAGACCCTGTGTTGGGTGTACTGGTGGAGGAGTTATCCACTATCAAACGAACTCTGTAAGATCTTACCGGAACACCAATTTTGAAGACAACATCAGTATTCACCAGTGTATAGTCCTCATCCAGAAGCGACTGCAACACTTGATCTTGCTCAACCTTGGTAAGATCACTTGTGGACAAGTCGTTGATGACCTTAACTTTGAGTTCGTCCTTAGGAACATCAGGAATTGTTGCAACAGGTTTTGGAATGCCAAAGGAGAAACGAACAGGGATTCTGTTGTAAGCGATGGCAATTTTAACAGATCCTCGTTCTTCAACGTAATCTCCAGTGTAGAACTTCTCGACCAGAAGTTTTTTCTTTTCTTCATTAAACTTGGACTGCTTGATAGCATCTGTACCCAGAATAACGATGCGAATAGGAATATATTTGCAGAATTGGACTTTATTGTTATACGAAATCTTCACATCCGTAATCTCATAATCAGTAGTCATGAAGAACAACGTTAAGGTCGTTGATTTAATAGTTATAATATTACCATCAATCTTGAAATTGTCATCGATGAGCTTGTTAATGAGTTCTATCTTTATCCTATCTTCGATGCTGAGCATGGTGATGACCTTGATTATCTTATGCTTAAGCTGTATCAGTTCATTGCTAAGAGGGCCAATGTTGAATTTGAAGCTCTCAAGTTCGTTCAAGCCTTGTTGTTCCATAACTGTTGTTGCCTCGATAACTGCACTGAAAGGTTTGGGTTCCTCCTCCTTTTTCTTGCGGATTTTGATAGCTAGTTCAGGGGATGAGGCACACTCGTCAGACGATGTCAGACTATCACGTTTGAACCCTTCGATAAGGATCTTATTTCCCTCACGTCTATATCTGCCATGTTTTATTGCTTTGATGGCAAGTTCCATACTTTCAGTGTCAATTGTTGAAGAGGATATGGTCTTGATCATGATCTCTTTGATCTCATCGTCGGATACATCCTCAGGTACGTAGAAATATGGTAGGCTAGTGCCAGGTGGGACACTTTCATTTTCGGTCAACTTGGCAGGATCGATATCAAAGTCTACTGACTTACGTTTTTCACCGTCCTTCACTAGCACTGACAGTCTACGACCGTCCAGCGAATAGTTGTTGTTGTAAATTGAGGACAACACAGAGTTCCTTTCATCAGCGTTCATAGACTGTTCCACAGTGAATTTGTCCACGATTTCGATGAGGGAAGAAGTTGCAATGTTAGTCTCTCGCTGAATGATCTGTGGATAAAGCACACCAGGGAGATTCAAGGTTATGTTCTGGGTTGTGGTACCAGATTTAATCAGAATGGTAACTTTGCTGAGACCAATCTCGCAATTGTCATCGACGATCGCTTGAGAGAGCTTGTCTTTGACATGTTGGGGGAACTTAAGCTTTGAAACAGCAAGTTGAATGAACTGTTTTGTTGACTTGTGGAGAACTTTGGGGTTATTGGGATCCTTTCCAGGAAGGGTAAACTTAGCCTGAAGATCAGAACCAGCGAAAATACACAGCTGAAGATCTCTGCAGGTGTAACTTTCATTATCGATTGCACTGATAAGAAGCTCTTTTTGGATTTCTGAAATTTTATTGTGCTTTTTGATGAATTCTTTGACTCTCTCGATTCTCTGTTTCAACAACCCATGCTCTTTGAGCACTCCTTTGAAGCCCTTGGCTTTCAGTGCACCAAATCGGGATCCACCGGCTCTTGGAATCTTTGGGGACTTCTTTGCAGGACTTTTAGGTGGACTCTTCCTGCCAAATTTAGGACTTGTCTTAGGAGACTTTCGCTTCGTAACAGGGCTAGACTTCGGACTTGATCTTGGGCTGTTCCTCACGGGAATGGATCGCTTTGCGGTACCGGGTGATGCTGTTTTCGAGGCGCTAGGAGATGCTGTTTTCGAGCCAAAGGGCGATGTTGCCTTCGAGGCGCTGGGTGATACTGCTTTCGAACCAAATGGAGAAGCTCCTTTAGAGCCAGTAGGAGAAGTTCTTTTAAAAGAGGTTGTGCTAGGTTCCGGAGGAGTATTGGAGCCTGACTGACTACCTCCGAACTTAGACGGTCCAAACTTGGACGGTCCGCCATTACCAGCTCCTCCAAACTTACTGGCTATGGAGCCGAGACCCGCTGCCTTTGAGGACGACTGTTGCCAGGGCTTGAGTGCTGGTTTTGGAGCTGTCTCTTCAGATGTGGTTGCTGTTTTCTTCTGCCATGAATCTACTAATTTACCTCTAGGTACCCCCACGCTTCCCTTGCCCGCAAGAGAAACTGACCTAGTCGGAATGCCGGTATCCTTGTTGAAGGACATATTTAACTGTCTCAATAAAAAACTTAGCTGCTGTTGGGATCTTTACTGCATCAACTTGCAGTTAGCTGAGACATCTACTATCAGTGTTCATCCTTATCTAAACAAAACAAGATAGAATATAGAAATAATGCACATAAACAATACTTATACAGTTATCAATCATTATCATTGTGTACTGTACTGCCGAACTAGTACACTGAAACACAATGTTTAAGACGACCGTGATATAATATGTAGTGTAATAATGTACCACAAGAACTGGTAGAATCGAAAAACTAAACCACAATGAAATACAGACAAAAGAGGCAGAGTCAGCTCGAATATGAAGCACTGTCTAAACGGAAATTTTAAAGAAGGAGCTGGAGAATCTGTGCAACAAGCTTGGCAGGGAAAACAGTAACCAAAGTAACCAAAGTAACCACAGTTACACATATTATTATGCGGGTGGTAAACCCAGCAGGTAGACAGTCTACTCGGTCCCCGGGTAACTGCTGCCTGTTTGTCACCATACGGCTTCCTCCCTCCTGCTACTACTCTACCAGCTACTAACAGTACGTAATGGTTATACCGTCTACAACTGCCCTCATGTCTCATGACATTATTAATTTCCAGTGTCAGCTCTGGTTAGAGCAGCATATTATTTTATAATAACTACCGTGTATGTTTAGCCAAGTTGGGGTCTACATTACTTTATATCTGAGTAAAAGCCAATGAGTGCCGAAACGTTGATTATTTCATTTTGGTTTCACCACTCGTTTGCCTTGTTTCAGTTTGTCTGCCGAGAGCCGTGTTGCTCCCTACTAAACACTACAACGGAAAGCTGTCAACGGCGACGAGAAGGTTGGTGGGACGGAGCGATTAGAACGGTCAATGAAAGTAAGCACAGTTACCAACGTAACTAGGTTTTAACGTTCATAGGCTAATATATAGGCTAATATATAGGTTAATATAGGCCATACTCTTTTCTGTTAATTCGACAAATTATGTGGTGAAAGGCTACAAACCTTTTCTCATAGTGGTCCGATTAAAGGAATAAAACGTAACGTGTGCCTGGACTGTCTTAGTCTGAGGAAGAGTCTAGAATTCTAAAAAATTCCACAGAATATTCTATCATTCTATTCTAAGACTTGGAATCTTTTTGGAGCACCTTGCAATGAACTGTTCGTAAATTTATCACCGAAATACAACTACAAACCGGAAATAAGTTTTCAGGAAAAACACCATGTGTTGTGTACAATATGAGGTTCCTGAGTCCCAATTTATTATATGATGTTCCTTACATAAATATTTGTTAAAAACAGTACATACCATAATATTATTTTGATGCGGTCTCACATTATTTATCTCACATGATAACTTGAAGGTTGATTAATTGGATGATATGAAGACTAATAACTCTTCTGGTCAAATTCGGCTCAGGATTAACTTACGTCTTTACAATTTACATGTATTTTAATCTACGAATGAGCCAACAATTCTTCTGGTTAAATTCGGCCCAAGACTAAATTACGTCTTTACTCTTAACGTGTATTTTAATCTACACGATTGAGTCAGCAGGGCAATTTTGATATCTCTATTTCCTGGACCGACATCATTAACATCAGGGCTGGGGTGTTTTTCTAAATTAATCCACATTACAGCTACACAGGAAAATAAGATTTGCGATATCGTTTAATTACACTTAATTAACCTTGCAGGTAGCTCAGGCCTGACAACTTTTCATCGTGAAATTCAAGCTAACAATGATAATTGTGCTTAGCACCGCTTGGGTGTTCTCAATCCAAAAAAGCTAGCTGATATTGCATTCTGTGCAACTTAACAGCCTGCAATTTTAATGACAGGTAAACCTATGAATAAGATAATAACGACGATGATAGACTGCATGGGAACTTGGAAAGTTTGCTTCTACTATTCCAAGAAACCATTAGATATAATATGTAGAAACTAAAATAAAGAGATATGTGCTATAAACGGACATAAAGACAGTGTCTGTACGCATAAATAGAACAAGGAACGTTGAGATTTCAAGCGAACTAAAATTCCAAAACATAGCCAGCAGTAAAGCATCAACAAACAGGCCAGCTATAAACTTGAAGAAAGGTACAACGGATGACGCAGAATATACTCTCCCTCAATCTAGAGCGAAGTGGGAAACATTTGGTAAAGCATTATGTTGCTCAGAAAAACAGTAGCTGAAAACAGGAGCACTAGGCCGATATATCATGTCATCGCTAGAAAACTAAGCGTTGACAGCCCTAACATTCCTTTCAACTTTAAGTTAGGAGCGTTGATTCGGGGTACTGGTTGGTCGCAGTGGGGTCACGTGGGCGGACAGGGGAAACCTGACTGGGTGACGGGACTGTCACGTGACGTACCACGTGGTGCCCTTGAAGCAAACCAGGCGTGTTTTACATAAATGACTAGAATAATTGAGCCTAGTGTCATAAGGTGGGACTTAAATAAGAAGTACAGTCAGTGATTTAATAACTGGTGATTTAAATGTGCAATATTGTTGTGTTCTTTATTTCAAGCAGTTGCTCCCACGAGACTAGCAAGCTTGTTTTTTAACTGGTGAGAGGAGTGTGTGCAGGTTGTAAGACAGGATATTTTCACTCTAATTAGCGTGAAGAATCAGTACAAGTGTAGAAGATGCCAGGTACTCCTTACTGCGCTGGACAGGGCTTAGAGTGCTTCTTCACACCGTAATCATTTTTATTTCTCCCCGGGGGATGAGAAACGCACAGTTTCAAACGAGAAAAGGGGTAACTCGTTGGACACCAATTTGACAAGTCTTTGAGACTGTCTAGAAAGTTACAGATGTTGGAGTAAAGGGAAATTCAGCTTGAGATATTGTCCAGCAGTACAGTATGTGTCTTGAAGATCTATACGTAGAAGGAGTCTAATGTGGAAGCCGTTCCACAGGGCGCCATGTTCCATAATATATAATCGATATTCTTAATACCACACTGAGTAGCAAGCCTAACAAGCTGAGCTGATACCGAAACAGATTCTACTCCTTGATCTCCGCTATATTTGTTTCTCAAGTTAGTTGAGTTACTTAGGTTTCATGTAAGAGTGCAGCACGACAAGTAAAGAATGTCCGTGTCTTCAAATAAGGACACCAACCCAGCATAGTATTACAGTAGGGGTTCTCAAAAACAACGTCCGTTATCCCAGATCGTGAGCACCCTGGAATAGTATGCAGCATGGTAAGAGCTGCTGCTGCTTCCACCACTCCGCAAGCATTCCACACTCCGCAACAATTCCACTCCGCAACAATTTGGCACTTTAAGTGTCTTCGTGAAGTAATGGTGCTCTTTGAAGAGTTCTGTGATCACAGCGACAATATCGCGGTATTGCTTCGTGTGTTATTTCAGACGTGCGTGCCAGTCTGTTTTCAGTTACGACATGCACCCAGCGTACCCGCACCGTGAACGTCGCTAGAACCGAACTAACTGGAACAGCACAGTAAGGATTCCTTGCAAGTTGCATACCCTGCACTGTGACGTAAACAACGTCGCGGTCACGTGGTTATCTGACAGCATGGCAATCAAAAGAGGGAGTTGACAAGTTCATTGATGCTTCTTGTGGTATAATTAGTGTACCGACATATTCTCGCATATATTCCAGCATAATACTCGCATTATATTATTTTGGGATATTATTCAATTACATTACCGTTCAGGTCTTATTTTTCCACATTATAAGGTCAGCTGTTAATTTAACTTTAATTAAAGTTACTCAACTCTGACAACCTACACACTCAGCGTTCTTTTTCTCAACTAGTCTAACTGGTTTACACATGATACGAGGAAAAATAGGAGAGAAAATAATTATTTTTTTAACCAGAAAACCTTTGTTTGCCAGGATCAACCTTTGTTTACTTTTTAATAACCTTTAAACATAACCATACCTTCCATCACGAATAACAAAACTCTGATCGTTTAGGAAACTAATCATGCTAAAAAGTTTAAAAGTCGGTACTCACAGCCAAGGTCCCGGATCTTAGCGTCCCCAGTCTGGGTTTCATCGTATTGCTGTTCGTCACCCATCACAGACTCTTATTGACATGCTATACAGTCCTATATCTGTGCAGGAGAGTACACGTTAATAATAATAATGCTTAGTGGAGGTGTTGTGAAGGTGTTGTGGAGGTGTTGTGAAGGTGTTGTAGAGGTGTTGTGGAGGTGTTGTGGAGGTGTTGTGGAGGTGTTGTGGAGGTGTTGTGGAGGTGTTGTGGAGGTGTTGTGGAGGTGTTGTGGAGGTGTTGTGAAGGTGTTGTGACTGTGTTGTGGAGGTGTTGTGAAGGTGTTGTGGAGGTGTTGTGGAGGTGTTGTGGAGGTGTTGTGGAGGTGTTGTGGAGGTGTTGTGGAGGTGTTGTGGAGGTGTTGTGGAAGTGTTGTGGAGGTGTTGTGGAGATGTTGTGGAGGTGTTGTGGAGGTGTTGTGGAGGTGTTGTGGAGGTGTTGTGGAGGTGTTGTGGAGGTGTTGTGGAGGTGTTGTGGAGGTAATAATAATGCTTAGTGGAGGAGTTGTTGGGGGATGTTATTTAAATATTGTGAGTGGATATTATAAATATTATGCAGGATATTAATGTAGCAGGATAATAAAATACGAGTAAAATAAGAATTAAGCACACTGCACCTGCACGTTCCAGAGGATAGTTGAACTGTGAGATTTATTAGTTTTATGTGATAGTCTCATTGTGAATATGGAGAAATCATGCGTTGACAAAATTTAAAGTTTATATTCTAAATGTTGTGCCAGGGTTCAGGGATAACAAATTAATAAGAAAGAAGGAGTGAGATCTAATTTCAACAGAACTGCAAATAGTTAGAGCAAATACTTGAGACACCGTGTTGTATAATCTGGTGGAATCTTTGAAGGGATGACTGAGGTTGATGTAAATCAACCTTCTCCTATTGTTACAGTTCTGTCGCATTGTTTATTATAATTTTTACCTTTTTCATTAAATTATCACTCTACTATCCTTTCAGTCGGAAGCAGCTTCACGCGGAAAGATGCTGCTACATACCATGGTTACAGCATCAAAACGCATATTGTGTGACGTATGATGAGACCACTGATCGGTTTGTCGTCACCTGCATGACTTAATACAAAAGCCTAGCGACGACCTTTTGAAATGTACTGGTAGTATGAGATAATCACTGAAACATATTAACAGTTTTAATATGTTTATAACACATACGTTTGTTATTGTATTTAAGGTAAATGATTTCACAGTCTAGGTCAAGGTTCATGTAATTCTCAGATTTGTTCATGTGTGGTGCGAAAATTCGGTTGAAGAAACATACTTTTTCAATATTATAAGATTGAAAAATAATCTTACAATAAAGCAATAAGAAAGACAAGAGATAACAAAATAAAATAAAATAAGAAAGACAAGAGATAATAAAATAAAATAAAATAAAAGATGGTGTTAACGGAATGACTGTTACAGGTTTGATTGGGAAGCAACGGAAAATCCTCCTCACTATAGAGTATACCAGACTACTTGGCAGCCAGACTACCTGGCAGGCCGCTCGAACTTTCCAGACTGAGCAGGTAGTCATGCGGAATGTAGAAAAATAACAAAGGTTCACATGGCGCTCGAGTTAATTCATGTGAGAATTAAATATACTATAAAAATGTGACATATTGATATAAATATAAAAAGTCGATAGTAAATATTTGATATCACGATCAACCGACATTGAACAGAATTATCATAAATTTTGTTTTGTAATTTTTAAAGAACAAAAAATACAGTACAAAGTTAACGGAACGGCTGTTTTCATTCCTCATTTCTCAAATGCACTGAGATTATATTCAGAAGCTGGAAAGTTTGGTAACTTGGAAACCTAATGAATTGCTTTTCTTACTATACAATGCAGTCTTGGTGTTGGGTCGAGTGTTCCTAGGTTCAAGTTCGATCTAAATCTGGTGCCAGCAGAGAGTGCACCAGATTCCAGAATATCGCAGATATCAAACGGGGATCACAACAATTCTAGAAAGTTTGTAAATACGACACGATCTTCAAACTACGAAATTGATCTGTGCCGTTACGGCCATTTGTAGACTGTACGTCGCAAATACGAGTTAAAAACTGTCCATATCAGATAACCACATTATAATTTATATTATACTAGCAGGAACCCCTCTAACCCTCAGGAGACCACAATATTTATTTATTTTATGACTTTATTTATTTATTTTATGACTTGGTGTCTAAATTTGACATGGTGTCTAAATTTCGAGACCTAAAGTTCCTATTCCTTGGCCAATTTTTATTCTCTACATACTGGTAAAAAAAGCCATCAAATCATTCAACACGGTCAAAAGAATTTCTATGGTATATCTCTAACGGTTTTCGCGGAAAATAGTGTTAAAATTGATGTCGTGGTGTCAGTGAAATAGCAACGGATAAATTATATGTATCTATCGTTTCGCTTTAAATATAGTAAGATAGTAATGCTAACTGTTTTAACGGGTTATTGATGACACGAGTTCCAGATGCCACTTTTAACGAGGTTGCCTGAACTTAACTTTAGGTATGCACCATAGCTATGAACCATATTCTTTCACTTCAGGAATCAAGATATGGTCTTTTGTTGAATTACTAAAGCTAATTTCTGACAAAAAGAGGGCACTTTCAAACTGGTTGTTACGGTGCTTGGGAGTATTGGAGTCAGACACAAGATGAGGCTGACGTACTGTACACTGTACAAGGGTATTATGATCTGTACACTTCAATTCAAACATTGTCTGATCAACCAAAGTCACCGTTGGAAGATCAGTTCACGTTTTTATAATTTTGAGAGTAGTTATTTGAAGGACTCGGAGCAATATTTAAATGTTTTATTGCTCCTGATATTAACATGACGTGGGAGTGCAGATCTCAGCGTAAAGTTTTCAGTGACTAAGGAAGAAACGGCAAGAAGAGCCCGGCAAAGGACTATTTGACAGAGGCAGAAAAATCATATCAGCGTATCAACTGCTTCAGTGTGCGGTAATGAGAGGACAAAAACATAACATTTTACAATTCAGCCATACAGGTGATAAATTATTATATGTTTTGTGGTCAGAAACAGTGGAATTTTGTAAGAGAAATTGATTGCTTTCTTTCCGTTTAATGTGCCGACTGCTGTTGTTAGCTGCCTTGGTAAACCGTTCAATATATATTATAGTTGGGCAGCTCAGCAAGATTTTGTAAAAAGTTTGTTGAATTCGGCAATTTTCAGTTTGGGAAAAATTCGGCTGCTACCTTTTCTAATTAGCTAATTCACTGAATGTAATCGAGTACAGTTTGAGACAAATAGTACAAAACGTGTGACCAACTTGTTAATAATGACTACTAAATGATTTATGGACATTAGAATTAGTTGAGCTCATTAAAATATTCAATACAGTAAGTTATCTTTACTTTATCGGCTAAAAGTTCGGCAAAAGTGCAGTAATTGCTTTTGAAAGTTCGTTGAGTGCGTTTTACGTGATATGTGTAATAATATTATATTTATTAGGTTAAAGTATCAAGTGAATAAAAAAAAGAGATTTTAAGAAGCACCGTCAATCCTAGCTACAAAACCTGACTTTAACGACCGAAACGGATCAGTTAAAATGAGAAAGTTATAAAATGAGAACGTTATATCAGAGTTGACTGTTTTCTAATCTTTAATCAGTTATTTATCTTGACATTCAGCATGTACGAATGATTTTGGCTCAGAACATCGATCGTTAGAATATTCTAGCAATTACAATTTATGATATTTGAACGGACTGCGACGATTCCATTTTTAATTTGTTCATTATTAAATCTACAGTTTTGGTAAGCGGTATTTCATGATTTTATTTATTTCTAAGATTATCTTTGATTATTTTCGATTACCTTTGATAATTCCTAAGATTATCGACGACTATCGCTTTACGTTATAAAGGAATAAATCAGCGGTCTACTTTCCAGTGCGAGTATGTGGCCAAAATGAAATAGGGGATGAACAAATCAAAATACCCCACCCCCGCCCACCCCCTCCCACCCACTCCCATCCCTCCCTCTTTAATAGTGACCTATTTTAACTTCTGGTCGTGTTGATGAAGACCTCACAATTTTAACGACTTTATCGAAGAAGCCTTATATAAACTGTGGAGACTTTTGCCTTCCCAGATTGTGGCTCGTGCTGTATAACAATGCTATATAATACGAAACTGAACGTGTTGATATGAGAACAACACTTTACTTCTAGCAATGAACGAATGTTGAATGTTGATGTTAGAACATATTATTAACATCTAGTAAATGTAGAACTGGGAAACCTTGGTCGTATTTAAAAGGCATATTTAAAATGCAAATTGAACTTTCCGCAGAGAAAATAGACTCTATGAAGGGGGTCAGGTGTTTTTTCATTGAAAGCATTAAAATTAAAACCAGTAAAATGGAAGAGATCCTGACAGAAATATAGAAGAACCACCGCTCCTGCAGGACCGAATAAATAACCGACACCAAACCAAATGGCGATCAAACTGGGCGTGTGATATCGTCAAAAATAGTACGTCTACTATGGTGTGGCTGTAAAACTTCATCAGATCAGTGCATAAGTATAGAATATATTGGACAGCAATAGTTGTTCGGAGATGATGTAAGTAGGCAAGTTAGCAGACCTGAGAACCGTACATACAGGAGGCTGAACAGCTTGGTACCCGCTGGTCCGGACTTGTCATCATTACAAACGTATTACAAGAGATATCCATCACCGCACAGATCAGTGACATCTAAAAAATCATTAACTTACAAATCCGAGGTACATAACGATTTTGATAAGAACCGAGAAAGGCTCGAAAACTGTTCAACAAGAACAAACAGTAGAATCATAGACTTGTCAGCGCCGGGATGACAGTTGGCAATGCAAAATTGTTAATTGCACTTGTATAACGTGGGAACAAGCCTCAATCTCCACATCTACACATCTTGTGCAAGCGGACACAGGTCTCATGAGACTTGTATCCTCTAATTTTATACCCAAATATGACTCTACTTAAGATGATGTGATCTCCAATCAGTAAGAACGTTCTGAGTAACAACGTTCTGAGAACTCTGTCATGAGTAATATAGTACACGATGATCATTGTACACAGGACAGTTCTTCAGAAGAGATGATCTCAATCCTACTATACGTAATATCAAGAAATTAGGTGATGATTACTTAGTTAAAATTGCTTTAGAAATGTCTTATCTAAATGTTTACTGCAGCTATACCAAAAACGAATAATTGTCTGTACAAAAGATGATAACATTAATATTTTTGATTGAATTTCGTTATAAGAATTAATTAACTGTCAGCATTTCCAGCGTTGAGATAATGGTTTATTCCAGATTAATCAAGAACAGGATGATAATTCACAGGATGGTAATTCAAAGGATGGTAATTCAAAACATAGATATTTGACCAATTTATGGGCTGAAATCTACGAAAATGGATATGTATGCCCAAATATGGACATAGAGATTTTTGCTCATAACTCAGCCAATTTGTGTCCAATTTTGATCAAACTTTATTATATACGTGTTCAGAAGACTAGTAACTTCAATTGTGAGCATGTTTAGGTGATTTGGTATGATTGAGCCAAAATTTGATAAAATATGGGCCAGGCACGTAGCAAGGGGGGGGGGGGGGGCAGGGGGGCTGCAGCCTCCCCGGAAAAAATTGAACCCCAGAAAAAAATAAGTCCCCATGTTCGCCTGGTAACTGGGCTGTGTTTATGACTGCAGTCTGTACTGTTTGTTTAAACGGCAGGCAATTGACTTCAGAATTTCGTAAATTGTTCCCAAATCCCACTATACATGTACTTATTCCATTCAATGTGGCAAGTACTGAGTTCGGTAGGGACTAGTAAGACATTTTGGCATTTGCTTAGTGCTTAATTTCCAGCGAAAAATTAAAGAGCAGT